AACGGACCGCGCACCAGCACTATAGAGTTAAAAGCGAAAAAGTGTGCGACTCTTGCGCGATAGACGTGAAACGTGTTAGCTCCTCCTAAAAGTTGATTTTATGCATTACTTATCACTTTATCGCATACTACATACGTAGTATAGAGAAAATTAAGTGTCACTGCTGTGAAAATATGGTTATTTGTGTCAGAAAAATTGGTATTGTTGTTCCCTGACACTGAAAAATTGGATACTTATTTTTTCTCATATATGTAAAATAAGGTCAAGTACAATTTTTCGAAAGTTTGAGTACTTTTCGCGTAGTTTCGCGTTGAAGTTCGGGGTAAAAAGTACTTCCTGCTTTAGCACCACTAGTATCCTTAATGAAATCTGTTGTTAATGTCATATCTTGATATAAGTTTCTGATTACTTTCGAAAATATGAGGAGTTTTAAGTATTTTTTTACGTGATTTATACAATATTAAAACAAATTTACTCTCCCGTATACGTACGTATATATCGTATATATTGAGTAATATATCAAGTATAGGGAAAATTACGAAATACTGTAGAAAATCGATTTGGAGATTTCAACGGAAATACACGTCACTTGAGAGAAAAATGTTTTTCAAATCGGCCGCGGACGTCTGCCAGCCTGTCTGTCCGACCGTCCGTCTGTCTGTCTGTCTGTCTGTCCGTCTGTCCGTCTGTCTGTCCGTCTGTCTGTTTATCCGTCTGTCTGTCCGTCTGTCCGATTTTAACAGTTATCTCTGAATTTTCGAAAATTGCAGAAATTTGAATTTTTCCGCGTTTTCATATTACAAAAATAAGTTTTTCTCAAACACGGCTGAAAATATTTTTTTTTTACTTTTGGTATGGATAGGGCTAAATGCGCTCTATTAGATCCCATTAACGTCATATTGCTTCACGTTGTTTATGCTTACGTTACCGACGATTTGATGACACTATTATATTTATGAGTCCATGTGCTTTATATAATGTCATATTAAGTTCCACAAAAACTATTCAAATTCAAAAAATCATTTTAACTACTGTGAAAACTAACTCATAATTCCGCCTATTTAGAAACACCCAAACGCCATTTTCTCAAAAACGGCTCCAATTGTTTTCTTCAAATATTTCAAAAGGCTAGTACTAATTGCACTCTTTAAAATGACGTAAAGATCATTTCGGGGTATTTTTTTAATTACATAAATGTAACTTAATTCAAAGAGTTCACACGCCCTTAATATGCACATTTCCAGCGATTTGTATATACTATTTTATGTTTGTTAAAATGCGTTAAACGCCTTCTACTGAAGTTTTTCGAAAACACAACAATTTTCGTGAAAAAAAACTTTCGAATTTACAGTAGGTTTTAAACGCCATTTTCTTAAAAAAGGCTCCAAATATTTCAAAGAAAAATGCCATTTATGTTGAGATTTCACTCCTCTTTAATATTCTAAAAATAATATTTCCGTTCTGCTATTAGGAAAACGAGAAATTAAGAAAATTTTTAAAATGTGTATTTTGGGCGCTGATAATTGGCGCCGTATGTGACAATTTCGTACTAGACGAGACCAAACGAATAGAAAACTAATACGGGAAAGTCTGTGACTTTCTGTAGCACCGCTAGTTTTTTGTTCTCAAAAACGGGTACAAATTTTGTCTTAAAATGTTCTCATATAAGAGTAAAGGGATGGTATTAAAATGGTGCTAGTGTACTACGTTGTGTTTAAAAATGTATTAATAAACATTATTCTATAAATCGTTGTAATCATAACCTTAATAATTACAATAATTTCTTAAAATTATAATTGTCGTTTTAATAGGCCCCTAGACCATTTAGATGGTAGAGGGGTTATTTGAATGTTTGGGGAGTGTGTCTCCCTAAAATTGTTGTGTTAAAGGTTTAGTCCAATTAATTTTGATTTAAAGACTTAGAACTTTGTTGCTCAATTAATATGCTCGTTTACTTTGTAGTTATTTTTCCTTTAAATTTTAATTGAGTTTAATAAATATATATTATTTAGTTGTGTGTTGGTTTTGTATTTACATTTTTACGAGACGTAATTGATAATATATTAAACTAGCCAATATACGCAGTGTCTGTCCCTATTCTTCCGCATAAATATATAATTGGGAATTAGCATTGTGTGATCAAGTAGATAAATCCAAGAAACTACCGAGAGGATCTTTCTCTTTCCTCTTTCATAAACTACATTATTAAAAATTGTTAAAATTGCCGATTCCGAAATTTTGATTTTCTAAAGTCATGTTGAGATTCAGTAATAAAAACATGCTCATTGAAAAATGAATAAATAATATGTAAAAAGGTAAAAAAAAGGTGTCTGAAAACTATCTGATAAATGAAAAAGGGAAATCTGGCTATAGTTATATTTTTTAAGACTGGTTTGTTTTTCGTCTCTAAAATGTCTTGGCAAATTCTCACACTTCTGGAAGAATTTAAACATGTGAGAGTGCCCCTTGACAAATACGCAAGACTTTCACAAAAAATTCACAATGAAAATTGCTTCGAAAGATCAAATATTTGTGCTACTTATGTTCATGGAATGTAGGTTTAGTGATATGGGACATTGAGACCTATTTTAATGCCACTCTAACGAAACAATTAGTGTTTGTAACAGAATGAATTAACTATGCCCGTTAATTAACAGATAGTAATCAATAGGTCCCAATGAAGAAATAGAAACCACGAAATAAATATGTACTTATAATTACCTGTGTAATTGATGTGATATTTACAGTGCTGGTGTCAAAAATTGCAAAAAATAATGTTACATATTGGTAGGTTTGGGCAGATGCTGCTATCCAAATTTTTTTCTCACTGGGACCTGGATGGGGAGGAATCGTGAACATGGCAAGTTACAATGAATTCAAGAATGACAACAAGTGGTAAGTAATATCGGACAAACATAACGCAGAAGACGCGCTATAAAAAATCGTTACTTGAGGTTTCTTCCTTGGCAGGGATTCGGTGTTGGTGCCGGTGATGAACTGCGGGACAAGTATATTCGCCGGCTTTGTCGTCTTCTCCGTTCTCGGATTCATGTCCCACCAAACTGGAGTTCCCGTTTCGACAGTGGCCACCGGAGGTAAGGTAGAGAAAACCGTGATCAAGATTTTACTTTTTCTCTCCGACTCTCCGACTTGACTGTGACGTCAGGAAATTAAAAGGATCTACAGTTTCCAGAAAGGATATAAAAATGAATTTACATTACATGTAAAAGTGAAATTGTTTACAGTGGTATGTGTCACATAAAAATGATAGTACCACTCGAGTGATAGTTGCTCCCAAATTAAGCACGGATTCTTTTGAGTGACCATGAATTAAACACAGCGCAGATATGATTCAATTTTCCTCCAAAATGTGAATTTTTGACACAAAAAAATTAAAATTGCTTTGGAATATTCGCAGCTTAAGTATGGGAGCTTACATAGTGTTAAAATAAAAATATCAAATAAGTGAATCGAGAGCAGAGAATTATAAATTTGTTCCTGTTCTTCTGAATCATTTCGTAGAAGTATAAAAGATAATTGAGGAGGTAATTAAAGAATCACAATTCAAATTTAAACAACTATTGAAAATGTTTGTTACCTCCGAAAATATAAATCACAAATCATGTTGAAAAACCAATTGAAAAGTTTATTGTTTATAGTGAGTGGTCGTTTATTTTACATTAAATAGCAAAATCTTAACTATTTTAATTCGAGAACGATAACCTTTGACGGATTTTATTCATGTATAATACATTTTTAAAAGTTGGAAACTAATCTTAATTGCATCTAAGTGTGAATGTTGAAAGTGTACATAAGATATGAAATTAATGGAGAAAGTCAGTACACTTTCCCCTCCATGCAGCGTTGCCTAACAATGACTGCACATTATTCTATATATTATTCTATTCTCTCTTCTGTGATCGCGTCCGTATCGAGCAGTGCTGGCGATCACGCGACATCTAGCGAAA